TTCCATTTTTCTCTATTATTTTCTTATCCCTTGCAGCTCTACCAAAGGGACCCGGTTTTTTGCAGGGAACACTGGCCACGTTCCCCACAAAGCTTGAACGCTTATTTTGTTTCATGGTAGACTTAGATATGAGAATGAGGAAAGGATACTGGATAAACCTGGGATATGTCTTCTCTTGTGCATACCACTAATGGGAAATTTCATTTGGAATTACTCCCTGGAGCTTTGGAATCTTCTAGCATATGCTAGTGATGTACGTTCCCATTACCTTTAGTAATGAGAAAATACCTACCTTTAAAACAAGATAGCTTTTCTGATGGTTTTTATGTGGGAAGACAGGTTGTTTTCCCTCTTGTTCATCATTTATCATTTTGTCTATTCTTCTCTCAAGGTACAAATTATGCTTATAACATAGTTTGTGTAGGTGGCTACTTGGCTACTATCAGTTTCTGTAGGTCAAGTTGAACTGCAACTTGCTTTTTTTTTCTTTAATAACCCCCACCTCCTGGAACCATGTGTTACACACAGAAAACATTCAGCATATGTCAGAATTCAATAGTAGCACGTCTTTTCTTCATAATTTTTCACTGTTTTTTCCTCCATTTTTATTTTTCTTTTTGCTTCCTGTCATCTTTATGATAGTGCTTAAAAGTGTTTGTGTAGTTTGAGTCAAAAAGCATCATTGCGACGGGAATACCATTTTAGCCATGGGTTCCTAGTTATTTTTGCTGTTGCTTGCTTTTAAAAATAGTCCTAATAGACAAATCTAATAGACAAATCTCTAAATATTCAGCACTATTCTGATTCTAGGACTATATTGGAAGGTTGATATCTTATAAACAAGCTTTTACTGTATCCGTCAGTTTTCAGTGTGGTCTTTGAACCTTTGGAGAGTCTCTAAGACCATCTCGGGGTATCCATAATGTCAAAACTATTGCCATAATAATATTAGGACATTACTTGCCTTTTCACTGTATTGATATTCGCACTGATGGTACAAAAGCAGTGGTAGGTAAAATTGCTGGTGCCTTAGCATGAATCAAAGCCAAAGCTTCAAACTATTCTAGTAGTCACTGTATTCCTAAAGTTTTGTAAATTCCAGTTTCACTTAAAAAGTCCTT